GCTTCGCGGCGACGTTCAAGCAGGAGACGATGAAGGTGAGGGCTTTCACGGTCCGGGCAGCCAATGGAGCCGAGCTGAAATGTGACCGGCAGCTCCGTGGGGTTTCCCTGCAGATACAGGGACTCGAGGTGACGGTGGATTTGAATGTCCTGCCCTTGCAAGAGTTTGATGTGATTTTGGGAGTCCCGTGGCCCCGAAGCTTGGGCCTGATTGTGAGTGATTGGAACAGGATGACGATGTGGTTTAAATAGGGGACAAGGAGTGGGAATTGAAGGGTATGACGACGACGGCGGGTCCTCTGAGATGGGAAAAGCTGCAGGGGCTGGAGGAGGAGGCGGTGGTCATGCTATGGTGGCTGATGGAGGCTGCCCGTGACCAGGAACGAGCGCCAGCAATGCAGAATCTATTGGAGAGCTATTGCGACATGTTCGACACACCAGGGCAACTCCCTCCTAGCCGCCAGGTGGATCATCGGATTAGGTTGAAGGAAGGCACTGACGTTGTTAATGTACGACCGTACCGGTATGCCCATTATAGAAGCTAGAGATTGAGAAGCATGTCAGCGAGATGCTGGAGACGAGGGTGGTGAGACCGAGCTCGAGCCCTTTAATTTCTCTTCTCTAGTGTTGCTGGTAAATAAGAAAGACGACACTTGGAGGGTTTGCACAGATTATCGAGCTCTGAATGAAGCCACCGTCAAGGATAGATTTCCAATTCCGATCATGGAGGATATGTTGGATGAAATCTGGGGAGCTCGGTACTATACGAAGCTGGACCTGCGAGCGGGCTTCATCAGATTAGGATGCACGAAGATGATGTCCATAAGACAGCTTTTCGCACACATAACGGGCATTATGAGTACTTGGTGATGTCGTTTGGGTTGTGCAACGCCCCGTCTACTTTCCAGACTGCTATGAACGACATCTTTATATCGTTATTACGCAGGTTTGTACTGGTTTTCTTCGATGATATATTGGTCTACAGTCACACATAGGCAGAACATTTGTAGCAGTTACAGCAGGTGTTCGAGATTTTGAGAGCAAACCAGTTCTACGTGAAGGCATCGAAGTGTGCATTTGGAGTGACCGATCGAGTCGACTATTTGGGCACGTAATATCATATCTAAGGGTGAGAGCAGATCCATCGAAGTTACAGGCAATGGTGGACGATCCCACTCCAAAGTCAGTGACTAAGTTGCGGGGGTTTCTCGGGTTGACTAGCTACTACCGGAGGTTTTTGCAGAATTACAGTTTAATAGCTCAACCACTGACGGAGCAGTCGATGAAGGGAGGATTCTGCTGGAATCCTAGGGCAAAGGAGGCATTTCATGCCTTGAAGGTTGCCATGAATACGACCCAACGTTGGCGTTACCAGATTTTTCACAGCCATTCGACGTTGAGATGGATGCATCCGAAAAAGGGATTGGGGCGGTCTTATCCTAGAGAGGGCACCCTATAGCCTTCATGAGCAAGAACCAATGTCCTTCTAAGGAGAGGTGGTCCACGTACCAGAATGAGATGTTGGACATTACCGTGGCAGTACATGCATGGAGGCCTCATCTGTTGGGGCAGAAATTTCGAGTGCACACAGTCCAACAGAGCCTCCGACACCTTCTAGATTAGCGGATCTCTACATCGGATCAACATAAGTGGTTGGTGAAGCTGCTGGGGCATGACTACGAGTTGCACTACAAGTCGGGCTGACAAACAAAGCCGCAGATGCCTTGTCCATGAGGGGAGTGGGTGAGATGGTCGCGGCAATGACTGGGCTAGTCGTGTAGTTCTGGGAGGAGTGAGACGGTCGCGACAGTGAGGATAAGAGCGTACCTGCAGGAGTGACGCGACACCGCCATCAGCGAGACTCCCGGTTACTTCTCCTTCCGGCATGGTCTGGTATTTTACAGGGGGCGAATCGTACCGCCTACAGGGTCTTCTTTCGCCACTAAAGTGATCAAGGAGTTTCATGACTCGCCGGTGGGTGGTCACTCGAGCGATGAGAGGACTTTGAGGAAGATCCGTGGCCAATTTTATTGGTCGGGAATGAAGACGGAGGTGAAAGCATACGTGGATTCTTGTGATACATGCCAGCGGGCCAAGGCTTCATTGCTACGACCGGCCGGGTTACTCCAGCATTTACCAGTACCGGAGCGCTTATGGGAGGACATCAGTATGGATTTTGTGGTGGGATTACCGCCATTCGGGGGCAAGACAATGCTGCTAGTGGTGGTAGACAGGTTGACTAAATATGCTCATTTCCTCGCATTGAGTCACCCGTACACCGCCAAGATGGTGGCCGAGCACTTTTTGTGGGGAGTTATTCGGCACCACGGGTTTCCCCGGACCATAGTTAGTGACATGGATGCTTTGTTCTTGGGGATACTCTGGCAAGAAGTGTTTACAATGGCAAAAACGAAGTTGCATATGAGCTCGGCATACCATCCGCAGACCGATGGCTAGACTGAGATGGTTAATAAGCAGTTGGAGCAATATTTGCGATGGTTCGCGCATCAGCAGCCACACAGTTGGTTGGTGATGCTACCATGGGCTGAGCTGTGGTATAGCAACACGTATCACCGGGCGATTCAGACGATGCCGTTCGAGGCACTATACAAGCGCCCATCGCGAACCTGGTTCGCTACCGAGAGGGGTCGAGTACGGTTGATTCAGTGGATCGATGGCTAGGAGAGCAAGATCGAGCGCTGCAAGATCTATGAGAGAACTTGGCCACTGCGAATAACAATATGAAGAAGTTGGTGGATTCGGGGCAACGAGAGGAGGAATTCGCAGTCGGGGACTAGGTGCTGCTACGCCTTCATCCCTATCGTCAGTCCTCAGTTTTCAGGCGAGGATATCAGAAGTTGGCAGCCCGGTACTTCGGGCCTTACCAGGTGCTAGAGCGCATAGAGCAGGTGGTGTATTCCCTGAAGCTGTCGGAGGGATCTCGCATACATCCAGCGTTCCATATTTCACTATTGCGCAGGTACAGGTGTGCGGCGACAGTTGGGGACTCGCCATGCCCGCCGGTGGAAGAGAATAGAGGGCTGGAGTTAGTTCCGATGGAAGTTCTGGAGACTCGGTGGGTGCGGAAAGGAGGAAGGTTGACAGAGCAGAGTATGATTCGTTGGCAACACGTGGAAGTCGAGGATGCAACTTGGGAGGACACCGAGACAGTCAGACATAATTATCCGGTTTTCGACCTTGAGGGAAAGGTCGATCTCGAAGAAGGGAGGTATGTTAGAAACCCGCGTATGGGCCGGGGCGAGGGTTCGGGTCGGGTGCTTGAGGCTGAACTCGGGTAGTATAGTTGATAGTGGCAGAACTATTTAAATCATGTTTTGTTTTATTTTGAAGGAAAGCAAAGAATTATTATCCTAATCCCTAATACCCCAATCTCCCTAATCTTTCATATTCTTTCCCAATTCTCACAATTCACAAACCCTAATCTCTCAATTCTCTTATTTATCTATCTCAATCTATCCCCAAATATCAAGGATTCAAACACTTGATCCGGTCCGGTCCCAATTAGGTCTTAATTTTATATTGACCTTGTGGGGATTTGAGTGGCTTGAGGCCTCAAAGAGTGAGGAATTGGTTAAGTTTTGGGTGTTGGGCTCTCTTATTTATCCGGTCTTTATTTGGTTTTCGGCCCGTCCCGAACGATTTTTATCTCAAATCTAAGCGTGAAAATGGGATTGGATTGTTTGCTATCCAGTCCCGGTCCAGTCTCGGTTCGGTTTCGGGAAAAACCAAAAAGCCCAAACCAAATAGTCACCCCTATTGGTGAAAGTGAAGGTGGGAATGGTGCTCACAAGTCACAAGCAAAGAGATTTCGGTTTAAATAGGCTGTTTTTGGTGATTGAGTATTGTTTTTCTTTTCAAGTTTGCTGCTTTTAGTCTAATAGTGTAGTAAGGGAAGAATTTTAAAAAAAATGACTAAGGGGTCGTTTGGAACCTTTAATTCTGGAAATGATGTATTACGAGAATGTGTGTATTAAAGATTATGTGGATGCTAAGAATGTGTGGTTTTGAAATTTCATTGTTTAGAAACTATAAAAGAATGCATGGATTATAGTTTAAATGAACTATGGATATTAAAATCTCAACAAAAATGTAAGATTTACTAATCACCATACATCATTTTTTTTATGTATTAGGAATACAACATCGATTATGAATACATGCATTCTGTTATTACATCAAGTCAAGAAACGTTATATTCTACCAGATACATGTATAGTGAGAATACAACGTCTGTAATCGGAGGTTCCAAACGAGGCCTATGTTACACCCAAAATGAGTACGGTTCCCGGCTGACCCCAGCCAATCACTCCTAATGTAGGTACGGGACTTCAAACGAAGGTAACAAAATGTTGAAAGAGTCAACTAAGCGAAGTACACGTTCTATCTCAGGATCCACCTTGACACTAGATTACTACACCAAAAAATAATAATACTTATAGTCAATCCTAGTACTTCATGTTCACAATTTACTTGTCTAACAATAAACTGTAGAGAGGTCTGTGAGTTGTGACACAAATTAACCTTACATATTATATGAATTAATATATATTTTTAACTAAAAACCTTTGTTTAATTGATTATTCTGAGTTTCCTAATTCTATGTTAATATCTAATTTTTCACGCTCAAATGAAACTCTGTCGGTAAATTATGAACACATTTTTTTATAAAAGTAAAATATGAATACTTTATTAAAGTAATTTAAATATAAATAAAATTTATTTTATATAATTATAAATGTAAACCGGACCCTTCTTAAATGAAATCCGGGCTAGGCAATTGGATACTCCTCCTCCTCTAATAGAAGCGACCGAGGTTGGAAAATCATCAACTCTCCCATCTTCGACGCACCAAACGACGCCGTCTACTTCCAAGGGAAACTCTACGTCGCGGAGCGGGACCGCGTGCTCGTCCTCGACCATGACCTAATAACAACAAACAAGATGACCGGCAGCGTGAGATCGATCCCGTTCTCAGAAGCAATGACAGCGGCGTCATGCTACTGGGCGTACGACCGCCACTTGTGCCACCTCAACGTCCAACTCCACGTCATTCTCCGCCGGCGCCCCAGCCGCACTTGGAAGCCCGTCGACGTCCATGTTTTCAAGCTGCTGCAAGGAGGCGGCTGTACTGCTTACTATTGGGAACAAGCGTGGAGTCTGGATGGCCATGCTGTGTTCCTTGGAGATCACGAATCTTTCTCGATCCGATCTTGTGCTGGTGGTGACGATGGGGTTAGAGGCGACCACATCTATTTCGCTTCTGGCGACGTCTTCGATCTTGTTAGTCAAAATCTCCAGAGCTTCATTGCTGGTCATTGGGATAGGAGCTACAGGGCGGAAAGACCCTTTTGGTTCCTTCCTATGATATGGTAACTAAACTAACATTATCATCACCAATTCTCTCATCCTGCAGCTATGTTGTTTCAACGTGTTTGGTTTAGCCATGATTGTGGTACAGGATCTTTCCAATAAAGTGGTTCCGTCACTGAGTTTCAGTCACCTATGAACCAAGCCCTAGTTAGTTATTAACTCTGTTGGACGACTCATCATGTCAAAGAGTCTCATGAAGTACACTTTTTATTTATTCAACTACTTGTGGTCTTTTATTGCATGTGGTGATCGACCTCGGTACCATGCATGCATGCATGCAGGGATATTTCCAAGCTACACAACAAACATCATCCTAGGAAGAAGAAGAAGAAGAAGAAGAAGAAGAAGAAGAAGAAGATGACGGCTTGGGAAAGGGAGCGCCTACTTGGAACCTCAGCTAATTACGACGGCTGCGATGGAACACTACTTCCCGTGGGATCTGAGTGCTGCTGGACGCTACCGAAGAGAGCCATCAGGAATTATGAGCATCATGATGATAATACGATCACCCGCACCAACAGATTTGAAGCTCTATTACAGGATGATGATGACGATGAACAAGTAGTCGAGGAAGATTAAAAAGACTGCTCGAACAATTCTCTCGAAAGATAAACTTGGGTAGGGATTGACTTGATGTGTGGAATAATGAGTTTCATGCGTAACAAACAAGGTATTTCCTCGATGTAAGAAATATACAAAGCTAATGAAGAGTTTACATGCATGAGGCTTAAGTAATCATTAGAATTCTAAGTTTATTTTGCAGGGCATTTCTGTGGTGCAGTCACGGCACAAGTGCCGCCATCATTTAAGCCGTTGGATCTGTTAAGTTTTATGACCATCATTGATTAAAACCCAAACTTAACCAAGTATGGTTCGACCAGTTATATATGGTTAAACCTATTAGTAATTCCAATTCATTATTATAAATCACTTTTAATTATCAACGGAAAGAAAATTTATTTGTTTTTGAAAAACCCTGCTTCCCTTCCCTGTAGTTCCACTAATCGACAGCAGGAAGTGAAAGTCAACACCGACAACAGAATTAATCATTTCATAGCAAAGCCATATTCTCGCTTCATTTTGATCAATATTCCTATTATCTGGCATTGCAACGACGGATTTCCCAGACAGCCACTAAAACAAATTCTACTCCGACAAAGTTTTTAACCGGCATCCCTTCCTCCGTATAGTTACACTTGGGGCCGCGACAAGAGCGCTAATGGCGGTGCCGCGGTGGTGATTCTGAATGACTAGGTATTGGGATCTGAGCGCAATGACTGTGAGTATGGCATCGGCGGCAGAGACGATGCTTGTTATGCCGAACGGCAGCAAGATAGGGTTTAGCGGTGGTGATTCCGACTAACAAGAAATTCGGGATCTGAGTGCGCGATGGCCGAGTGTCTGGAGGTAGTGGCGGGGGCAATGTTATTTATGTTGCGGCGGCGGCAGGAACGATGATGACGGTGGTGATTCCGACTGAGGATGTATCCGGTATTTGCGTGGTGATGATGTAACGACGATGAGATGATGATGATAGCCAGGTCGTGGCTTCAATCGTCGGAGGAGCCGGCTTCCCGATGATGGAGAAAGAAAAGAAATAAAGGGGAAAAGAGGAATGGCCGCTGCCTTCTGTTTTTGTAATTTTGTATTATCAATTTAATATCAAATCAAATAAAATCAGACCCAATAAGTATTGTCTAAACCATTCCAAATAAAACCCATTCCAAATCAAACCCATTTTATTTGAACCAGCCAGGATAAATGGCGGCACCGGTGCCGCAACGGCACCACAGAATTTGCCTTATTTTGCATAATAATAATAAGAAGAATGTCTAAGGATAGCTAGTAGTGGTGTTGGTTCTGCTTTAAGTTCAGCGGCGGATCCAAGGGGTGGCCACCCCGGGCCCCGGGCCAGCCCTCTCCTGAATTTGGAGTTAGTATAGTGTTTATGAATTTTTCGATTTTAGTTATTTGGCCTAGTGTTATTTTATAATCAGATTGGGTATAACTAGAAAAATTATTCAGATTAACATATTCAAATCACTACTATAAATTTAGCCTAGAAATTCTAGCTCCAAAGACTATTTTTTCTTAAAAAAATGAAATCTAGAATTCTAAAAGTCTAAAACGTAAAAGACTATAAGAAATATGAGGTTTGTTCCCTTGAAAATTTACTAAAGCAGTTAGTGGATATAGGTATGGACACACAATGCACGATTGATTTATCTAGTGTTGACGCTGCTCGTATCAACAACTACTACAAGGAAAACCTTGTCAACAATGAAACATATGAAAACTGATTTCGTAACAAAATGAACGATGAATTTCTAGCCGATTGCTAAAGTATTTTATTTAAAACAATTTATACTATTGGTATGGATGTGGACTCTATTATTGATGCATTCGCGAAATTAAAATACCGTCGTGTGTAATTTATATTGTAAAAAAAAATTATAATGCTTTATTACGGTTCTAATTTTTTAATGAAATGCGGCCCTGTGCTCTTCTGTGTTCTGGATCCGCCACTATTTAAGTTCGAGTATTTTTGTTGAAATTCTTTGAGGCATGGTAAATCGGGTCATCCACATACTGCTGGGAGGTTCAAGGCTAGGTTTAAAAAAAAAAATATTTACAAGATAAATTGAATTTGTAGAAGTTGGATATGATATCAGATTGTGTGAGTTACTGTGGTAAAGTATGTTCTGGAACAATGATGAATTTCTCATTCAACATTTTAATCTGTCTGGGAGATGCAAAGATGCCACGAGTTATGTGAAATCAAACTACTCCCTTATTTCTTGATGCTTGCTTCGATATTGTTACTCTAGTGCATATTTGGAAGTTTTTAACTGTGGAATCTATGACCTTAGATCATTATGAGAAAAGAAATTGTTGATGAGTACGTGCAGGGATAGAGATTCTAACAAGAAGGAACCTGTAAGATTAGTGCTTTGATTGAATTGGTTTAGTACTTTGTTATTAATGCTTCATACATGTTAATTTTTTTTGGTAGAAAACATGTTGTTAAATTTAGGTTATGCATGAAGAATTAAAATATAGTTGAATTAATATTATTATCTTAGATATTTGTGAAAGAATTATCTAGAGAGAAGTAGAGGATGCTGATAGACCGATAATTATACGTATTTTCACCCCTATTCTTGAGCCGTTTGAGAGGTTAAGTCTCGGGTTTTAAGCCGATTTCACGCGAGGTTGTGTGTTTATGTCGTATTTCAGGACCTGGCGTTGGAATCGAGGCGAGGGAACGAGTTCTGGGTCGAAAGGAACAAAGTTGGGAAGAAGTGGGCTGAAGAAGGAAAATACCCGGCCAGGGGCCAAAATACCCGGCCGGGTATTATTCTGAGGCGACCGGGGAAGTCCCTTTTTGGCGTCTGAGAAACAGAAGGGGGCCCGGGCAAATGCCTTAAATCCCCGGTCGGGGATTATGAGGACAGACCGGGGATTTTCCCCTTAAATGAAACGGTGAGTTTTGCAAATACCCGGTCGAAACCCGAAATACCCGACCGGGTATCTCGACCGGGTATCGCGACCAGGCAGCTGATAAAAGGAAGAAGAAGGCCAACATTGAAGGGATTCGAGTTTTTGAGAGAGAGATCAGTTCCTAGAGAGAGAAAGTGACGAGCAAGAGTTCCCAAGTGCCCTAGATTGATCTTCAACACCATTGGAGGTCAGGTTGAGCTTGGAGAAGTGCTAATCAACGTCCAGGAGCCGGAATCCGTCTTTCGCAGTATGAATTCCGTGTCTGTTTCTGCTTTTGCTTTCTTCTCCATGGAGTAGTTCTCCCATTCATTTGGGTATGGAGAACCCTAGATTTGTATGTTAGGCTTTGATTGTATGAACCCAAGTACTGATACTGTGATTGATTATATTCGATTGAGGTTTTAATGATTGAATGACTTGAATACTGATCAAATTCCTGTTGTTTCTGCTTTAACCTAGAATGAGAATATCTGCCTAGGTTAATAGAGTATCCTTGATTGAAGGTAGGGAGTTGGTGACTTTAGTCGAGGAGCCAACTCACTATTCTGTACCGGATTTACTCCGGTAGTGGAGGTTTTGTTCTTAGGGCCTCAATCTGTCTACTCCGGTGGAGATTAGTCGCCCGCTAGAGATTCAGATTGAGAGGGTCTGAAGACCTTTAGTCGAGACTTCAGGCTGTTTAAGAACTTTCCGCAGTATAATCTTCATAGAAACTGAACTTGGTAATTACAATCCGGCTTAACTGCAGTCTAGGGGGAACCATATCCGGGTGACCTCTTTAACCTGAATACAACCAGTTTACTTGCTTTGTTTGTTTGGTAGTTTAGACTTGCACTCCAGTTTTATTGCTAGATAACAAGAATTCACTGAGTAGTCATCAGATCTAGGACCCGGGTTGACATATAAACCGAACCTGCTATACTACGCTTTAGGAAGTGGTTTCACTTGGCCAAATCCTAGGGTGACAGTAGAGTCGAGTCAAGTTTTTGGCGCCGTTGCCGGGGATGACTAGGTTGTTGAAGAAAAGTGATTTCTGTTAATTTAGCTTTTCTTTTTGCTTTGTTTGCTTTGTCCCACTTATGCCTTCACGGGTTTGCTTGCTTGAGTGTGTGTAGGTAGTGCATGACCCGTAGCCAGTCAGGAGGTTTACTGCCGTTGAATCCAGAGATTGACCGCACCTGTCGCCAGCTCAGGAGACAACAGCGAGCTAGACTGGCTACGGAAGAGTGCATAGACGCCACGTGAGCAGTGATTCTGAAGAAGAGCACAGGATGGACGGAGAGTATAATCCGCACCAGGGGAATCCACAGCAGGTTCCCCCGGCGAATCAGGTCCTGGGGAACAACCCCATACCCCAGGATCATGGAGTTCATCATCCACCGCAACCGGGCCCCACCTTGGAGTACTACTACACTCCTCGGATTGCTGACATCCGCCCGGTCATCCTCTACCCACCGATCCCAACTAACAACTTCGAGATCAAGCCATGCTGGATTCAGCTCATCACATCCTCGATCCAGTTTCATGGCTTGAAGGATGAGGAGGCCAGGGTACATCTGTCCCGTTTTCTGCAGCTGACGAACGGGTTCAAGCTTAATGTTGTCCCGGATGATGCGATCTGCCTTCATCTCTTCCCCCATTCTCTGGCGGGGAATGCTAAGAGGTGGTTGGAGACCCAGCCCCCATTGTCCATCACCTCTTGGGACGATCTGGCTGACAAATTCGTGCACAGGTACTATCCGGCATCGAAGACTACAGAGATTCAGCGGGAGATCACTCACTTCCGCCAAGAGCCAGATGAGTCACTTCGTGATGCATGGGAGCGATACATGGGATATTTCTGGCAGTGTCCCCACCATGGCTTTAGTGATGCTTTCACTGTGGGGAACTTCTACAGTGCCCTCTCTCCAGATAGCCAGAGGGTGATTGAGTCTTTATGCCCAGGAGGGGATGTTCTCACCAAGACTCCACCCGAGCTGAACCAGATGATCAGTACTTTGGCTGCCAGAGATCATTCTTGGGGACAGGGTAGCCGAGGCAGACAGTCCCGGGACCGTGGTGTGCACGCCATGGAGACCAGATCCGGGCTCGAGCAGCAGGTAGCCGAGCTAGTGCAGACATTGAAGCAGCCCAACAGTCTGATTCCGGGCAGAGGTTTGGCTACACCTCCAGTTGCTCAGTGTCAGTGGTGTGAGAGCTCCAATCACCTAGTGGAGGACTGCCAGGCTATGAGGGAGTCTACCACACCCCAGGAGCAGTTGGCATTCATTGCCAATGCGCGGCGCCTCGATCCATACAGTAGCACATATAATGAGGAGTGGCGCCAGCATCCCAATTTCGCCTGGAGCAGCAACACCACTAAACCACCTGGTTTCCCAGCACCAGCAGGTGGTTTTCAGCAGAGGCAGCCCTACCAGGCTCGACAGGGGCCAGTTCCACAGCAGCCATTCCAGCAGCCCCAACGCCAGTTTGCCGAGCCAGCAGCAGCTCTAGCCCCAGATGACAGGATGACGAAGCTGGAAAACATTCTAGCTTCATTCATGACGAGCACTCAGGCGACTATCACGAGGTTGGACCAGAGCGTAGCCTCACTGGAGGCAGGTCAGAGGAACCAGGGTGCCATTTTGCAGGATCCGCAGACCCAGGTGGGCATCTTGGCCCGCCAGACCACCACCAGGGCACCGGGGACTTTGCCTGCCACCACTGTCCCGAATCCTCGAGAGCCTCACCAGCATCAGCAGCTGGATGCCATTTTTACCAGAAGCGGTAAGACCATATCTGCTGATCCTGTCCCGGCCAGACAGGAGGAACCACTACCTGCTTCAGCACTTCCAGCAGACGATGCAGAAGTGCGGGTGGAGAAGGAAGCCCCTGCTCCAAAGCCACAACCAGTGGTTAAGGAGCATGTATCCCAGCTTCCCTTCCCCACTCGCCTACACAAAGACAAGCTGGAGACTGAGTTTGCCAAGTTCATGGCAATGTTGAAGCAGCTCAACATCAGCATACCGTTCATGGAGGCACTGTCGAATATGCCCAAGTATGCCAAGTTCATGAAAGATATCTGCACCAACAAGAAGAAACTTGGGGATCTTTCGACAGTGATGCTCAGTGAGGAGTGTTCTGCTATCCTGCAGAACAAGCTGCCCGAGAAGCGCAAGGATCCAGAGAGTTTTACTATCCCTCTTACTATTGGCAGCATGCATGTAGGAAAGTCCTTGGCGGACCTAGGCGCTAGCATTAACGTCATGCCATATAAGTTGTATAAAATGCTAGACCTAGGTGAACTTAGCCCTACTAGGATGAGCATTCAATTAGCTGATCGTTCTATTGTGCATCCTAGGGGAATCATAGAGGATCTGCTTGTTGGTGTTGGTGCATTCACATATCCTGTTGATTTTGTTATTCTTGATATACATGAGGATGTGGATGTGCCTTTGATTCTAGGTAGGCCATTTCTTGCCACCGCCAAGGCACTTATTGATGTGCCTGATGGAAAATTGATCTTGCGTGCTGGGAATGAACAGGCTACTTTTTCTGTGACTGAGTTTGATCACTGTGCTATGATTGCTGTCACGCCTGTGAATGCCATTTCTGATCAGGTACACGAGTCTGTCGTGTACCCTTCTGCACCTCCTATTTTGCAGGAACCTCCTATTTTGCAGGACCCTCCTATCATTCCTTCGCCGCCACTCCATCCAGCCTTGCCTCCGAACAAAAAGCTCAAGGAGGAGTGGCGGTCGAAGCAGCAGGTTGCTAAGCCTGCACGGAAGAAGAGTGGAGACCACTATGAGCTGGTCCCACCTCCCGCACCACGACCACCCTGGCCGTCTGGGTACTCGCTCTCCTGCATCTTTCCAGATGGGCAGGTCGAGCTGACTGATGAGGGTGGTCGCATCCGTCGAGTGCATGGCCACAACCTCAAGCTGTACCTCAAGAGCGACGTGGATCCGCTCTTGGAGGCACCTGTTCCTGCACCGCCCTGAGTATCCACCATGGGCGTCCAGCTAAAAGACGGTAAAGAAGCGCTTGTGGGGAGGCAACCCCACCACGGTTTGATTTTCTTTCTTGTGTTTTGAGTCGGATTGTAACCCGGTTTGGGGTTTGGTTTGTTTTCCTTTGGTTTGGATGATATTTTATTGGGCTGACCATTGAACCTAACATATTGTGTCTGAGCTCTTCTGTTTCCCTTCGGCTGTGCTTGCCCCGACTGGCCCGTTTCCAGTCTCCTGCAGTCCGTGCATACCGGTAACATCCTTCCCTTATCCTTCCCTCTTCTCCATTGAGGGCAATGTCGATCTTAAGTGTGGGGGGATGTTTATCTTTTGAATGCATTAGATCTGTTTGTGTGCTTGGAGCCTAATCCACTGTCCAAATTTTTAAATTTGAGGGCTCCAAGTACGTGTTTCCTTGCAATTGCCTGCTCAGTATGCTTTGAATTGACAGTCTTTATAGTAATATGCAACCTAGGGAGGTAGTGTAGTACTATGGAGGATGTTGATGCATTTAAGAAGTCTCATTTCTTCTTCATATTGAGTTGGTTGATTGAGTGAATTAGTGATCTTAGGACCCTTGAATTGTGTGGTGTTGTGGATTCTCTGCCTGTCATGGACTCTTGTATCATGTTTTGAAAATAGCAGGTGCTCAAAAATGTGCTTCAAATAACGTCTCCCGTGCGAATAGGGCGAAAGTGTGTAAGGGGAGACGGGAATTCGTTCCCAATTTCCACCTACTACCTCCAGCCCCCTTACATGTCTTTCCCCCGCACGAGGCTCGAGACATCCGCTCCTGGCATGGCCGGTAAGAGCAGGTTGGGACCCTTGAAAAGAAAAGAAAAGAAAAATAACAGAAAACAAGCAAAACAGAAAAGAAAAGGGGTCTCAACCATCTTCAAGAAGAAAATAGAGCACCTAGAAAAAATGTGAGTCCATGATCTTTTGTTTTTGAGAATCTCTTCATCCACGATTCACTTGTCCTCTGTTCACTATTTGCCGTGATGCCGACTCGATATTAGTGCTTTCGCCGAAGAAGTTAGGAGATGACTTGTGCGTCGGTTGACCTCGTAAGCTGCTAAATGATCTAGGAAGTCCTCTACCTACGATCTGGGTTGTTTGTTGCTATAGAGGTCTGGAGAGTTGCATTGGTTTGAGTTAGGTTTGCTTAGGGACAAGCAAACGGTTAAGTGTGGGGGAGTTTGATAGACCGATAATTACACGTATTTTCACCCCTATTCTTGAGCCGTTTGAGAGGTTAAGTCTCGGGTTTTAAGCCGATTTCACGCGAGGTTGTGTGTTTATGTCGTATTTCAGGACCCGGCGTTGGAATCGAGGCGAGGGAACGAGTTCTGGGTCGAAAGGAGCAAAGTTGGGAAGAAGTGGGCTGAAGAAGGAAAATACCCGGCCAGGGGCCAAAATACCCGGCCGGGTATTATTCTGAGGCGACCGGGGAAGTCCCTTTTTGGCGTCTGAGAAACAGAAGGGGGCCCGGGAAAATGCCTTAAATCCCCGGTCGGGGATTATGAGGACAGACCGGGGATTTTCCCCTTAAATGAAACGGTGAGTTTTGCAAATACCCGGTCGAAACCTGAAATACCTGACCGGGTATCTCGACCGGGTATCGCGACCAGGCAGCTGATAAAAGGAAGAAGAAGGCCAACATTGAAGGGATTCGAGTTTTTGAGAGAGAGATCAGTTCCTAGAGAGAGAAAGTGACGAGCAAGAGTTCCCAGGTGCCCTAGATTGATCTTCAACACCATTGGAGGCCAGCTTGAGCTTGGAGAAGTGCCAATCAACGTCCAGAAGCAGGAATCCATCCTTCGCAGTATGAATTCCGTGTCTGATTCTGCTTTTGCTTTCTTCTCTATGGAGTAGTTCTCCCATTCATCTGGGTATGGAGAACCCTAGATTTGTATGTTAGGCTTTGATTGTATGAACCCAAGTACTGATTCTGTGATTGATTATATTTGATTGAGGTTTTAATGATTGAATGACTTGAATCCTGATCAAATTCCTATTGTTTCTGCTTTAACCTAGAATGAGAATATCTGCCTAGGTTAATAGAGTATCCTTGATTGAAGGTAGGGAGTTGGTGACTTTAGTCGAGGAGCCAACTAACTATTCTGTACCGGATTTACTCCGGTAGTGGAGGTTTTGTTCTTAGGGCCTCAATCTGTCTACTCCGGTGGAGGTTAGTCGCCCGCTAGAGATTCAGATTGAGAGGGTCTGAAGACCTTTAGTCGAGACTTCAGGCTGTTTAAGAACTTTCCGCAGTATAATCTTCATAGAAACTGAACTTGGTAATTACAATCCGGCTTAACTGCAGTCTAGGGGGAACCATATCCGGGTGACCTCTTTAACCTGAATACAACCAGTTTACTTGCTTTGTTTGTTTGGTAGTTTAGACTTGCACTCCAGTTTTATTGCTAGATAACAAGAATTCACTGAGTAGTCATCAGATCTAGGACCCGGGTTGACATATAAACCGAACCCGCTATACTACGCTTTAGGAAGTGGTTTCACTTGGCCAAATCCTAGGGTGACAGTAGAGTCGAGTCAGATGCAGAAAATCAAGTTTGGTGGGATATATGGAAAGAAGAAGAATTATCTAGAGATGGAAGATGAAAGAAGAATTGTGATCGTGAGAAAGAGGGATGGGATTAGGTGCTAACCTTTATAGGGGTTAGCACCGTGATAACTAGCAAAAAACGCTACTAAAAATAACGAAATCACTACGGATTATTATAAAATCAATACAACATATAAGCTAAATCACTACTAATTCAAATTAGTAGTAGTTTTTCCCTTGGTTAGGACGGTGCTAACTATTGTACAATTAGCACTGTTACTCCTCCCTGAGAAAGAAGGAGGAATGGAGAATGGTCTAGAAAACAATAAAACATTATTGTTGTGAGTAGCTAAGTCGGTTGCTAGCTAGTATAAAAATGGGTGTGAGTTTGTATTATGGAATGTGGAGTGGAGTGGAGTGAATGGAGTGAGTAAGAAAGAAAAACTGAGAGGTGGAGTTCTCACTCAAGTGAGAAAGTGAGAGTGTGGGTGGTGAATTGAGAGCAAATTGAGTGTGGTGAGGTCTATGTTTGTAAGTGTGAACTCTTTTGTGTTGTAAGTTATAATAAAGTGTGTGAAGTTTGTAAAAGTGTAAATTGATATGATCCAAATTCAAAAAGAACCCGAATTTGAATTATATGACTAAAAGTATGCAGCTTTCCTTCTTTTTAAAGATTTTCGGAGCTTTTCTTGAATACAAAAATAAAGATAGATGTGGAATTAATCGGACAATCTCAACTCGTGACAAAGGGCAATTTGTATATTAAACCAATCAAACAAAATTAACTCGTGGAAATGGGGAATTGATATAGGGTAGATGCTCGTCTGTATGTGGGTATCGGGCTCAGCCACCCAGGGGCTAGCGCGACACGGCACGGTTAGAGCACGACACTAGCACGGGCACGAAATAAAATGGCCACCCCGGCACGAGCACGAATAAATTATGGGTCGTGTCGGGCCTAAACTTCATGGGCACGGGCACGAGCATGGGCACGACACGGTATATAAGTGGGCCGTGTTGGGCCTAATATTTTCGAGACTTTATTGAGTATAAGAACGGACATGGCACGAAAATAATATTTATTTGATAGAAAATAAATATAAAAAATTATAGGTTCAAATATTACAAAACACAAGTAGAAAAATAATTATTTGTTGTTGTTAGAAGTGTCATAAAGATATATACGTAATTACTAACATAAGTAAAAATGGACAAATAATTAAACAAAGCCAAATCACACTCGCTATAAATTTTCTTTTCCCCCTTATTTGTTACTTTTCTCAAACATTATCGGTTAACACTATCTTCCTCCGTCCAATTTTCACCTTCTTTTTCATTCTCTCTTTTGTTTTCGTCCTTTTCATTAAACACGAATACGAGCATGGCTCGAGCACGAATAGGCATGGCATGATTCTAACCGTGCCCGGACCTAGGCCGGGCCTAGCAAAGTGAATAATTGGGCTTGCATGACACGAAATGAAAATTGACGGGCCGTGCCAACTGCCAAGCACGACACGAAATAATGGGCCTAAAGCGTGCCCGTGTCGTGCCGGCCCAAGCACGGCCCAACGCACATGTACAACTCGTCACAATTAGACTCATTCTTTAGTTGATAAGCGACACGTACAATCTCCTCGAATCCTCGACAGAAGTCTTGCACAAAAGAACTCGTTCAGAATGAACTTGAACTCAACTTTGATTGATAACTTGAATATTGGGTACAAAATTCGTAGGTCTTACACCCTCTATTTATAGAGGTCTCAAAAACATAAAACTAACCTAAAAGGAATAGAAAAACAAATCCCAAACTAACTAGGAAACATAATACTACTTAAATAATGACTAAAACTACTACTTAAACTCCTACATAACCAAAATAAATAATTAAACAAATTAATTCCAAAAATAATTCCGGCCTTCCAATTCCCTTCTCCTTGACGGAAATGGTCTCTTGGGCTCACTCCTGCTTGTGATTAACTTGATTTCTATTTGTCGCCCTAGCTTTTTAAATTTATCGCCCTAAGCCCTACTCAAATGACTTTTTTGCCCCTTGGCCCTAACAGAACCCAAAACGTATCTTTCCCCTGTCGAACTCCCCTCCCCTTCCCCCCCCCCCCCCCCCCCCCCCCCCCAACTCCTCAGCCGCCGCCGAGCTAGCTAACGCCCTAAACAAAGAGAGTGTAACATGAGAATAACCTAGTGAAGTTTGTTCGAGAGCTGTACTCTTCGTGGAGTAGTCTCGTTCATGTTGAACGGGAAAACCACGTTAAATCGTCGTGTTCGTTTCCGCGTTTGGTTTTCTACATAGCGTAGTGACACTGATTTTAGTATGGTCTTGTGGTACTCATTTTAATGTAGTGATACAATTTCTAGCATAGTGGTACAGATTTAAGTGTATTGGTGAGTGGTAGTGATTTTCATATAGTGGTACGAATTTTTTATTGCATTTTGTTAGGTAATCACGGTGTGACTCTAGGAAAAAATCCCAAAGTACACTAGTTCTTAAAAAAAAATTCCCAAAATACATAAGTTATAAAAAATTTTCTAAACTACACATGTTTGGTATTCACCGTTTTTGACAGACGCAGTGAAGACTATCACCGCGTTCGACAAGCACGGTGAAGATCGATATCACCGTTTTAGTAGGAGACGGTGAATATATCACCGTTTTAGGGCAAAACGGTGAATACCTTCACCGTTCTAGGTTAAAACGTTGAGTATTAGGCACGTTTTCAACCCCTGTTAGGTGAAAATTAGGTAAGAGCTACCTAATGTTCACCGTTTGAGACAAACGTGGTGATGGTGTTCACCGTGTTTGAAAAAAACGGTGAACATTAGGCAGATTTTCCTATAAATACCAGGCCACCAGCAATTCTAAAAACAAAACCACTCCCTCCTCTTCAAATTTCAGCAACCGAAACCGAGCATAATACACAGGCGGGGAATTTTCGGTATGATTTAACTTTCGTATTATAGCTTAATGATGAATTTTAGTAGTAATAGTATGATTTAATTTTCGTATTATAGCCTAATGATGTTTTTAGTAGTTATATTGTTATGTTATGAATTACTTATCGTAGCAATTGTAGTACTTAATTTTTGAATTTATGCTGTTGTTAGTTAGTTGAATTTATTTTACGTTAGTTATGAGATGGAATAATATTAGCGTACAATGTGGTTTTGGTTAATTTTACTGTCTTTAAGCTAATAGTTTAACTTATTGTAAATTGTAAATATGGGTAAATTCAAGAAGTTTCGGCTTATTATTCGGTGGAATGGAAGGGTAACAAACTCTGACATCGGGATTGATTATGAGAACGGTGAATCCACTATGCTGAAAATTGAGTCGCGATTCAATTTTCAAGAACTCCGTGATATTTGTGCAGACAGGGTTTGTACGAGCGGACAGACTAGACTTGGCAAAATTAGTTACCGGTATCCAGACATGAGTGCTGGCGGGGTTGTGTACCAAGAAGTTGTCATAAACGATGATGACGCAGTTATGATGATGTTGGAGTTTCTAAGTGATAACGGGATGCGGCTTGCAGAGGTGTATGTTGAGACCGAGGCGGTCGGTGAAACTCATTCTCACCAGTATTCTTATGATGATGGTTTTGCAGGAGGGTACGGATGGGGTGGTAGTTCGAGCAACTACGAAAGAGGTGGTTATACAGGAGGTTATGGAGAGGGTGGTAGTTCAATCAACTACGGTGGAGGTAGTAGTGCAGGATGGGTGCCGTCAGAAGAATACTCGCAACAGGATAAACCTGCCGATGGCGTTCAATGGCCTGCTTGGGAGCCTGAGTGGGCTGAAATCGAGAATACAATTTGAGCAGGGCCTACTTCACATGAGCGAGATGACGATGTTGGTGATGGTGGTCATGTTGATCCTTCTGGGCCGAGCTATCCATTTGACTCAAGCAACGAGGATACTGAGGAAGATTTGAGATCAGAGAGCGAGGAGGAAGATACTGATGATAACGACGACGAGGCGACATTTCGTGAGGCACCCACGCCATACTACACACAGGTTCCAACTCAATTTCTACATAGTCAGAATGATGCCCCCGACTTTGTCCCTATGCCAGTGTATAATTCGAAGGCCAATTTGGAGGTGGGTATGACATTCTCATCAAAGGACGTTGTGCAGGATGCCTTTACCGAAGAGGCCTTGAGGCGCAATTTCGAGTGGAAGGTAAAATATTCTGACAGTAAACAATTACTTGTCATATGCAAGAATGATGCAGAGGGCTGTACGTGGCAACTGCGGGATGCAAATATGAAGACAAAGGGTTCCTGGGTGATTCAAAAAGCCACGGGACCAACCACACTTGCTCCTCGTCCATACGTTCCCAAGATCACAGGCAACTTAAAGCAAAGAAAATTGGGAGAACTATTAAACACCTTATCAAAGCACAACCAGATATCAAAGTCAAAGTTATCATGGTCGAGGTGAAGGTTCGACATTCTTACACGATAAGGTACAAAAAAGCATGGCATGGAAAGCAGAAAGCCATTGCTGAGGTGTATGGTGATTGGGAGAATTCGTATGCTTTACTCCCTAGACTTATGGCCGCAATGGAGGTGTCAAACCCTAGGACTGTTTTCGTGCCAGTATACAACAATGTATACACTGAGGATCAAGTTCGAGTACAGGAGAAGTTGATGTTTCACCGTATTTTTGGGCTTTCAAACCATGCATTGACGGGTTTGGGTTCTGCATACCGGTTATTCGGGTATTTTAATACATGTTTACTATTTGAAATGTTTCTATTCTTGCAGACCAAGTAAATTTCATGCTAATTACTTCCCAATATTTAATTAGGTTGATGGAACCTTCCTTACTGGGAAGTAAAGAGGAACTCTTCTCATTGCCACTAGCGTTGATGGAAACATGCGGATTTTCCCGCTTGCATTTGCAATAGTGGAAGGGGAGAACAGCTTAAGTTGGGCATGGTTCTTTGACCAACTACACGAACACGTGACACAGCGGGAGGGTATTACGATTATATCCGATAGACACGCGGGGATTAGGAATGCCGTGGGTGGTTTTCCTAACGAGTGTGGATGGACATGACGAGTGGGGGTGGTATTACGATTATATCCCAACTTCGTGTTGAGCTTAGATACTAATTCTTGATAAATTGATCCAGAAAAATAAAACAAAAAATGTCATCAATAAAGTGTTTCAATGACAACTTAAGTGCGTAGGATAGTTTTTAGACAATGCAAACTCAAATCACAAGACCTAAAAATTTTAAAAACAACATGGATAACTTAACGACAATGCAAACTCAAACTCCTATCACTGGTTTTCTTCATTTGGTTGCCCCTCATTTTGGCCCTCAGCTCGCCCTCCTCCTCGTCCTCCACGACGTCCTCGACCCCTTCTTCCACCTCCTCCTTCTGCTTCTTGGCGGGCTCGCTCAACGACTTGTCGCGGATGTCTCTTAACCCGAGCCCCTACTGGAGTTACAAGTGGCGGTGGAGGTTGCTGAGATGGACCGGTAGCCTGCTGGTAGATCGGGCTGTGAGGGGTTTGTTGATGCGGGGTGTGATACATCGAACTCTGTTGCTGATGGTGGAAATGAGAGAAATTTTGTTCACTCTGAGATGAACCTCTAGCGACATCCGATGCAGGTGCCCACTCGTACTCAAATGATTCAGGGAGCTCGGTTTCTTGAGTTGTACGCACCTCTTCAAAAGTAGGCAGAGGCCTGTGTTTGCTCCTTCGTGGGGGCTCAACCGGGGGCACAATGGGCTCACCATCACAGAATGATGGGCGTGCCGGAGCGGGAATGGGAGTATAGGCCACGACATCCCTCCTTTGCTCTCGAGTACAACTCAAGAGGTTGCTCATAAGCCTTCGCAGCCAAGAAGTTTTCGGCTCATCCATGCTTGGAGCACTATCGAGGGTGTGTTTGGCGTGTTCCAAACCATCAACCTAAGCAATCCACATAATAAAACAAAATTAATTAAACCTTAAAACAAAATAATTAGAGTCACGCGGGAGATTAGGATGACTTACCAACGAACCCATCACAACACCTTGCTTTGACACCCATCTATTGGTGAACTTCCGATACCACTGCATGTACCCATCGTGGTAGCCCATCGGTCTCGACTCCGGCATCCCTTGGACCACCCATGTCCTTCTATTCTCCCAGATGTTGATGTAGTACTGATGCTTTAGGGTCCAATTCTTTGAAGCGTGTCGGAGGTCGATGGCATGTAGCTCCCTGAAACCTTGAGGCGGGGTTTGTGGAATTGGTTGCTCCATTCGATATTGCCTCAAGGATCGATCGGGTAGGTGCCACTCCACGACGTGCCAACAGATCAATGGCACCTTGCACAACCACGTCTCGTGATCCAGAGGGTTTCTAAGATGATGCAGTTCGACCACTTCACGTGGATATGGATCCCAAGTAACCTATATTCAATCAAATAATGCAATTAGCGACCATTTACCTTGAAAAACCTTAACTTGTTAAATTATGATAAAGCATGATTACCTGATTCCACCAAGGCTTATCTAACTCAGAACGATAAAACAGTAACGAATGCTCAGGTTGATGGTCATTTGTATTTGCTCCTATCCACCTTGTAAGTAAAAGCATGGAATAAATGTAAATTAGGCCAAGTACGGATTAAATCTAGTTTCTCAATTAAATATAGCTAAGCATGGTATAAATTTAAATTAGGCTAAGTACGGATTAAATTCAATTTAAATCTAGCTAAGCATGGTATAAATTTAAATTAGGCTAAGTACGAATTAAATTCAATTTAAATCTAGCTAAGCATGGTATAATTTTAAATTAGGCTAAGTACGGAATAAATTCAATTGAAATCTAGCTAATCATGGAATAATTTTAATTTAGGCTAAGTACGGAATAAATTCAATTGAAATCTAGCTAATCATGGAATACTTTTAAATTAGGCTAAGTACGGAATAAACTTACTTGACACCGTAAGGGGGATTTTGCAGAAAGTTTAGCTCGTCATCGGCTCTCCGGTATGGACGTGGGTCTAGAGGTGCGAAGATTGGAAGATGCTCCCATACCCACAGCTGTAGGATAAACATCGCAGCCCCAGCTTGTTTTGCTCCCACCTTCGAGCAAGTGCACAGCTCCCGGTATATGCTCGCTAACACGGCTGATCCCCAACTCTTTTCCCTGATTGCGTCCCAGCCACCAGTAAGCAACGGCAACCATATGCCTTGAATCCACCGGTTTGACTTGTCGGGGTACAGAAATTCATCCACCAGACCAATGAGGTAGATGCGTGCATAGCGCTCCACTTGATCTTCTGGAGTCTCGTCATTGATTTCCACCTCATTCTGGACGTGAGTTACCAAACATGGGACCGACACTTGTCCCGCATTCAATGGTGGATGCCCCGTCCTTGAATCGGTGTAGTGGTAGGCATGTCAAAGCCCAAACGATCACGAATGAGTGGCCCCCAACCTCCTTCGGGTTTGGTAGTGCAACCAATGATGGCATCTCCAGAAATCGGCAGCCCGGTGAGGATCGCCAAGTCTTTGAGGGTGATCGTCATTTCCCCCTATGGAAGGTGGAACGTATGGGTTTCGGGACGCCAACGCTCCGCCATTGCCGTAAGCAAATCATTGTCGATTTCGATCCGCATGAAATGGCGCTACATACCCAACCCGATCCTCTCTATATAGGGCGCCAACCGGGAATGCCAAGGGGGCAAGTTTGTGGTTCCTTTATGAACGACGAGAATAAGTGATTCCTTCAAAAAAAATAGGAAAACATCAATTTGTTAGTTTAAATAAAGCAAAATAAAACTTTAGAAAATAATAAAATAAAGCAAATAAATCATCAAATTACCGGATTGTTATCCCAAATAGCACGGGAGCGATGAGCTTCTTGATCGGTTAAGAGTTTCATATCTCTTGGCCCATAATGGATATACAATCGAGGATCGTATATCTCGGCATCCATCTATAAAAAAAGTAATGAAATCAGAGATTGTTTTGATAAAAAAAATCACAAAATCAAATTGTTGCGATTAAAAATAAGAACACAAAAAAAAGCCTACACGAAGAGCCTCTTCGTCCATTTTTGGCAGAAGCCGGACAGAGGTTCGACGGATTCGGGTTTGTAAGGGACGGGAGCTTAGCGGGACGGGGGCTTTAGGGTCAAACTCTAGTAATTCGTTCTGATGTGGATGATCGGATTTATCCGCAACCACAGAGCATACTTAGAACGAGACTAGAGCGGATAAATTGAGGGAGAAAGAAGAATAATTGTTGTGGTGTGATTTGTGAGTGGGGGAAGGCCCTTTTATAGTTGGGGGAGGGGGGGGGGGGGGGAAGGGATCTGGTGTGAGAATTTCGTGGATGCTTCACCGCCGTTGTCGAAAGCGGTGAATACACCGCGGCTGTCAAAAACGGTGATGGGGGCGACGTTGTCGAAAGCGGTGAATACACGACGTGGACCAGCTGTTATGCCGTTGCAATGCAAAGAAGCTGTTTGAAAAGCTAAATTAAGAGATATGGAGAGGAAAATGTAATTAATGTAGGATATAATTACATTTATATTACTTCCAAAAATATAATTAATCTGAATCAAATTCATATTTGTGAATTTGCCAACTCTTGCAGGTTCACACCCTATATTTATTTTTCTATTCTAAGCTGCGACCGACAAAGCAAGATTATGATATTAAACCCTAACTACATTGTTTACATATAAACCCTAGCTACCCCGGCCCCCGTGCAGAGAGCTAATCATACTCTTGGTCTGCCCTAATGGAATTGCCGGAGGAGCTAATAGAGAAGATAGCGAGGGAGCACTTGGAGTCCTATTCCCAGCTGATTGCCTTCTCCCACGTTTGCAGATCATGGAGATCCATCGCCCGCCGCCGCCCCTCGCTTCCGGGGCTACTCGTCCCCAAATCCACCTCCCAATCCCCACTCGAGGAGTATTACAACAGCGGCATAGCCCACGAGTTTTACCCTCTTGCCACGCTCTGCACCGCCACCCCGCCGCCGATCCCACGCGCCACCCTCTCCTTCCTCCCCTCTCCGTCCAAGATATCAGACGCCATGGGCCTGCGCAGCCACTATCTCCACCTCCACCACAATTTCGTCGACAAGCTAACCGCACCACCCTCTTCCTCCTCGGACGACGACAACGACGATGACGACAACCCATCATTATCCTTCTGGTACCACATCGACGACGACCTCTACGTTCCACGGAGTTTCGAAGTACCCGCTCGCTCCTTGGGATCCAAAGACGGGTGGATCCTCCGCACCCGACCCGAACGACATGGTGGTCGTTATTATTACGACGACTGGTGGCCACAGGATCTATACCTGCTAAACCCAATCACCGGCACCTCCGTCCCTCTCCGTCCCCTCCCAGCTGTCCACCGCCGGTACGACATTAACAAAGCCATCATCTCTTCTTCCCCCGACGACCACGAGGGAGAGTGCCACGTGTTCATCATCGTGCACCGTTCGTTAGTATGGTGCGACGTGTCCTCCTCCTCCTCCTCCTCCTCAAACGGAAGAGTTCGAGGACAAGGCTGGAAATCGGTAGGTAACGGCATATTCAATATCCCAGTACTGGACGCCGTCTACTTTGACGGGAAACTCTACGTCGCGGAGGTGGATCGCGTGCTCGTCCTAGACCATGACCTAATCCAGAAGATGTCGACGTCCTCCTCCTCTTCTTCATCTGTGACGTCGCCAATCATGAGGTCATTCCCATTCTCCAAAGCTATGACATCATACTACTGCTACGGTCACAGGTTGTGCCACCTCAACGGCCACCTCCACGTCATTCTACTCAAAAGCGATGGCGATGGCGATGGCGATGGCGATGGCGATGGCGACGGCGACGGCGACGGTGACGGCCACGGCGACGGTGACGAGGAGACCATCTCTCTCCACGCTTTCAAGCTGCTAGCCCTACCTACTAATACGTATTGTTGGGAGGAAGTGAGGAGTTTGGATGGACATGCTGTGTTCCTTGGAGCTCACGAATCTTTCTCGATTCGGGCTACTAGTTCTGCCGACGATGGGGTTAGAGGCGACCACATCTACTACGCGTTCGGCGACGTCGTCAATCTTGTTAATCAGAAGTACGATAGCTTTACCGCTCCTGACGGGGATGAGGATAGTCGCCCTTTGCATTACCAACCATCTTTTTGGTTCCTCCCTATGATATGGTAACTAAACTAAACTAAACTAAACTAAACTAAACTAAACTGACATTAGTATCATCGTTCCCTCATCTCTATGGGGTTAGCATCATGCTTGTAGTACTTTGCGTCCGACAAAAAACAACGACTACAACTACGATTGTGCTAGTACAATGAAACCTGTCAAAGAATAGCTATATAGGGTTGTAGGATGATTGATCAAATTTAGTCAGGGGAAAAACTCTGTTGGAGGACTCATCAAAGAGTATACACGCACACATATACTAGCATGTGTTGATTGATCTAGGTACCATGTGCACGCAGGGATGTTTCCAAGCTACCCAAAAATCATCATCGTAGGAAGAAGAAGATGACAGATTGGGAAAGGGAGCGCCTACTTGGAACCTCAGCTAATTACGACGGCTGTATTAATAACAATGGAACACTACTTGCCATGGGATCAGAGTGCTGGACGTTACCGAAGAGAGCCATCAGGAATCATGAGCATCATGATGATACTAAGATCACCCGTAGCAACAGATTTCATGCTCTATTATCGTCCGATGATGACGAAGACGACGATGAAGAATGCAACGAAGATTTAATGTTGAAGAAGTGTGATTCATGAGTTTGTTTTCAGTAGCAGTAGCACATTCAGTTAATTGCGTCCAATAAAGTCGGTGTTTCAGTTTCGCCCACAACCTGTTTGATGAATTGCCCATTAGAATGTTACTTTATTAGTTAGCTAGAAATCGTGTAGAATCGTGCTCCTTGTTTCTCTCTTTTCAGTTGTAGTGAAGCCTCTATATAAAGGCTGAGAATTCTATTCAATAAATATGATCTGAAGGATTCTCAAAACATCTCTATATTGTTCTTTGTGACTCTGTTTTCCCTACGTCCTCTGTTCCTTGTTCTTCTTTGTCTGCTGTCAAATTGCAGCTCCTGATTTGCAGCCGCCACAACAGTGGTATCAGAGCACTGGCTCGTTACAACCGGGCGTAACCAAGAGATCCCTCCATGGCAACCAACAACAACGTATCAAGTCTGCAGAGCATTCCTGTCTTCAATGGCAGAAACTATCAATTTTGGTCTGTGAAGATGAGGACCCTTTTCAAGTCACAAGACTTATGGCAGCTGGTAGAAAAAGGCCTCGGTGAGCAGAATGAGGCAGAAAGAATGACAGCTACACAGTGTGAAGAGTTGCGTGAAAAGCGGAAGAAGGATGCCAAGGCGTTGTTCATAATCCAACAAGGGATGGATAAGGCGATCTTCGCTCAGTTCATGGCTGCCACCACGTCAAAGGAGGCATGGGATATGCTCGAAGAGCAGTATAAGGGCACAAGTCAGATTGTCACCGTCAGGCTACAAACTCTTCAACGGGAATTTGAGAACTTGGTAATGAAATCTTCTGACTCAATAACAGATTTCTTTGCTAAGGTATCTGCTAATGTGAATCAGACTCGTGCCTACGGAGAGGATTTGAAAGACCAAAAAGTGGTGGAGAAGGTTTTGAGGAGTCTACCTCCAAAATTTGATTATGTGGTTGCTGCAATTGAGGAGTCAAAAGACCTAACTGCGTACTCATTAGTTGAACTAATGGGGTTGCTTCAAGCACATGAAGCTAGGATGAACCGATCCTCAGAATCAATTGAAGAAAAGGCATTTCAGGTGAAGGGGGAGTCTTCTAAACAGAAGGAAGAGTCTGGAGGACGAGGCTATGGTAGAGGAGGCTTCCGAGGAAGAGGTCGTGACAGAGGTAGAGGAAGAACTGGAAGTGGTGATCAGAAGCACACCAGCAATGAACAAATTGGCAAGGCTGGAATTCAGTGCAATTACTGCAAGATGTTTGGGCATATCAAAGCAAACTGTTGGAAGTTATCTAAGCAAGCGAGCTTTTCTGAAGAAGTTGAGGAGGAAAGTAAGTTATTCATGGCCCATACTGGTTTTGAAAATGCTAATGATGATGTTTGGTTTCAGGACAGTGGTTGTTCCAACCACATGACCGGGATAAGGTCTCTATTCAAGGAGCTTGATGAATCAAAGAAGCATAAGATGAGGCTTGGAGACAACAAGCTTATTACAGTTGAAGGCAAAGGAGTAGTGGCTGTCAAAACTGAACATGGTAACACAAAACTTCTCCATGACGTGTTCTATGTGCCTAGCTTATATCATAATTTATTAAGTGTGGGGCAGTTAATGAATGGAGGGTATTTCATCTTATTTGAGGAAGCCAAGTGTGTTATCAAGGAGAAAAGTACAGGACAAGTAATTGTTACTATTTCTATGGCATCAAATAATATGTTTTCTTTGCAAACATCATCTATTATGCATCAAGCTGTTGCTATTAGCGTGAAGAATGAGACTAAGTTGTGGCATATGAGATATGGACATTTGAATGTGAAAGGTATGAGACGGTTGAGTCAGAAGGAGATGGTGATGGGGCTGCCAACCATTGAGCTCTTTGTGTGAGAGTTGCATATATGGAAAGCAAACTAGGAAGCCTTTTCGAGCAAAGGCTTCATGGAGAGAAACTGAACTTCTGGAGCTAGTGCACACTGACCTGTGTGGCCCAATGAGGACTGAATTATTATCTGGGAATCGGTATTTTCTTCTCTTTACTGATGATTTCAGTCGTATGAGTTGGGTGTATTTTCAGAAAACGAAGTCAGAAGCTTTTGGAAATTTCAGGAAGTTTAAGGCGCTGGTGGAGAAACAAAATAGCAGGCAAATCAAAGCTCTCCGAACAGATCGAGGTGGTGAATTCACTTCACATGAATTTTCTGATTACTGTGATGAGCAGGGAATTCAAAGAGAACCGACAGCACCTTACACTCCACAACAAAACGGAGTGGCAGAGCGCAAAAATCGAACAGTGGTTGAGATGGCGAGAAGCTTGCTCCGTGCAAAAGGACTTCCTAATTCTTTTTGGGCTGAGGCAGTTGCTACAGCAGTCTACCTGTTGAACTTATCTCCTACAAGTGTCGTGATGCATCGGACACCTTATGAGGTATGGCATGGAGAGAGGCTTGAAGTAAGTCATTTGAGAATATTCGGTTGTGTTGCTTATGCTTTGATTCACCCACACAATCGTAGTAAGTTGGATGAGAAATCTGGAAAGTACATCTTTGTTGGTTATAGCTCACAGTCTAAAGCTTACAAGCTGTATAATCCTGTAAGTGGCACAGTAGTTATCAGCAGAGATGTGATTTTTTACGAAGAATCCAGATGGGATTGGGACAACAGGGATCAGGTTGCAGAAAATCAAGTTCCAGAAGACTTGGAGATGCCATTGGAGCAAGAGGAAGGACCACATGATGATCTGGACACACCAAACAATGTTGTTCAAGTTACTCCTCAAAGCAGCCCTATAAATGTGTCTGGAACTCCAAGTTCAACAAGTTCTGCAGAAGCTCATCAAGAGAGGTTCAGATCCCTGCAAGATATTTGATAACGATGTAAATGCACATGTTTGCGCCCCTAGTTCTTATCCGTTTGAGGAGTATAGTCGTGTGTTTTGGCATATTTTACGCCGCGTTGTGCTATTTTGTCGTGTTTCAGGTCCCAGGCGTCAAAGGGAAGACTAAGCGCGAGTTTCGGGGCATTCGGAAGTCATTTCGGTGAGCTGGAGCCAAAACACGGGCAGACCCAAGGCATTACACGGCCGTGTACCCCTGGCCGTGCTTTTTATGCCGAGAGCAAATTCGGTTTGGCAATTTCAGTTGCAAACACGGGCACCAAAGCACGGCCGTGTTCAGTCAAAGCACGGCCGTGTCCATCGCGAAGCACGGCCGTGTTTCCACCACTTGCTGGCCGTGTAATTAAGCCCTGGCCGAAACACGGGCAGGCTCAGGCAAAGCACGGCCGTGCCCTCGACCGTGCTCTGGCCACTGATGCTTTTAAGCAGATTTTCAGCCACAACTCAAGGGGATTCGAGTTTTTGAGAGAAAGAACGACTTCTAGAGAGAGAAAGTGACGAGCAAGAGTTCCCAGGTGCCCTAGATTGATCTTCAACACCATTGGAGGCCAGCTTGAGCTTGGAGAAGTGCCAATCAACGTCCAGAAGCAGGAATCCATCCTTCGCAGTATGAATTCCGTGTCTGATTCTGCTTTTGCTTTCTTCTCTATGGAGTAGTTCTCCCATTCATCTGGGTATGGAGAACCCTAGATTTGTATGTTAGGCTTTGATTGTATGAACCCAAGTACTGATTCTGTGATTGATTATATTTGATTGAGGTTTTAATGATTGAATGACTTGAATCCTGATCAAATTCCTGTTGTTTCTGCTTTAACCTAGAATGAGAATATCTGCCTAGGTTAATAGAGTATCCTTGATTGAAGGTAGGGAGTTGGTGACTTTAGTCGAGGAACCAACTCACTATTCTGTACCGGATTTACTCCGGTAGTGGAGGTTTTGTTCTTAGGGCCTCAATCTGTCGACTCCGCTGGAGGTTAGTCGCCCGCTAGAGAGTCAGATTGAGAGGGTCTGAAGACCTTTAGTCGAGACTTCAGGCTGTTTAAGAACCTTCCGCAGTATAACTGTCATAGAAACTGAACTTGGTAATTACAATCCGGCTTAACTGCAGTCTAGGGGGAACCATATCCGGGTGACCTCTTTAACCTGAATACAACAGTTTACTTGCTTTGTTTGTTTGATAGTTTGGACTTGCATTCCAGTTTCATTGTTAGATAACACGAATTCACTGAGTAGGCATCATATCTAGGACCCGGGTTGATAATTAAACCCAAACCCGCTATACTACGCTTTAGGAAGTGGTTTCACTTGGCCAATTCCTGGAGTGACAGTAGAGTCGAGTCAAGTTTTTGGGCGGTTGCCGGGGACGGCTAGGTTGTTGAAGAAAAGTGATTTCTGTTAATTTAGCTTTTCTTTTTGCTTTGTTTTCTTTGTCCCACTTGTGCCTTCACGGGTTTGTTGCTTGAGTGTGTGCAGGTAGTGCATGACCCGTAGCCAGTCGGGAGGTTTACTGCCGTTGAATCCAGAGATTGACCGCACCTGTCGCCAGCTCAGGAGAGAACAGCGAGCTAGACTGGCTACGTAAGAGCGCATAGACGGCCACCTGAGCAGCGATTCTGAAGAAGAGCACGAGATGGACGGAGACTACAACCAGCACCAGGGGAATCCACAGCAGGTTCCCCCGGTGAATCAGGTCCTGGGGAACAACCCCATACCCCAGGATCATGGAGTTCATCTTCCACCGCAGCCGGGTCCCACATTGGAGTACTACTACACTCCGCGGATTGCTGACATCCGCCCGGTCATCCTCTACCCGCCTATCCCAGCAAACAACTTCGAGATCAAGCCATGCTGGATTCAGCTCATTACATCTTCTATCCAGTTCCATGGCTTGAAGAATGAGGAGGCCAGGGTGCATCTTTCCCGTTTTCTGCAGCTGACAAACGGGTTCAAGCTGAATGGTGTCCCGGATGATGCGATCCGCCTTCATCTCTTCCCCCATTCTCTGGCGGGGAATGCTAAGAGGTGGTTGGAGACCCAGCCCCCATTGTCCATCACCTCTTGGGACGATCTGGCGGACAAATTCGTGCACAGGTATTATCCGGCATCGAAGACTACAGAGATTCAGCGGGAGATCACTCACTTCCGCCAGGAGCCAGAGGAGTCACTTCGTGATGCTTGGGAGCGGTATATGGGCTATTTCTGGCAGTGCCCCCAT